CTCTCTCTCTCTCTCTCTCTCTCTCTGTGTGTGTGTGTGTGTGTGTGTGTGTGTGTGTGTGTGTGTGTGTGTGTGTGTGTGTGTGTGTCTCTGTGGCACACATGCACACACACACACACGCAGAGAGTGAGAGAGAGAGAGAGAGAGAGAGAGAGAGAGACGCACATGCAATATTGGACAACACGTGCGAGGCTTTAATTTCACAGAATACACGTCCTGTCCATGGCATGCGACAGATGCTGTCGCGTTTACCCTTCTACCTCTCTGCTCAGGTAATCATTCAAGCCATTGTCAAAAGTATTTATAACCTTGGCCCAAATACTTCACTGTCCAGCTGAACCCAGTCCCTGCAGTCTCCTCATATCATTGTATACTTGTCGCTGTCGATCACCCCTACCGTCCTGATGTTGTATCCGTCGCTATATATCGAAAAATTCTCTGCGTGGGCAAAGGGCGGTGTCCTTATTTCCGATGAAGCTCGTCCAGGTAGTGTCTCCGGTTCCCTTCCTTCCCTTGTATTTGTCTACCCGTCCTCGGTATCCGTGCTGTGTCCGTGTACTTCGGTCTCGGAATTCGTCCTTGTATCAATCTTGATATGCCTCTACATTTGTAGCCCTGTGTGTTCGAGCATTCCTGCGAGATGAGTCGTTTAAATTCCTTCGATGGGATATCTCGAGTTCCTTAGGTGGAAGCGCTGAGGTAAAACGATTGAGTCTTTTATGGTCTTTTGTCGGTACGGTTCGGCGACGTGCAATGCACAATTCTTTAATGTCTTTCCGTGAGACTGCTTTGTGATTATATGACCTGTTTATATGCTTGTGATTCTATATGTGTATGCCTCTTGGGTTCCTTGGTTCATTTGAGATATTTCGTTCGGCCGAAGGACATCATGTTGAATTATGTTTCAGGCTTTCAGCAGAAATTTTCGAAGTGCCTTATATTTCGATTCATTTGTATCTGCTTGCTAAGTACCTTTCAGTTCTTGCCAATTCTTTCTGTCTTCCGTTTCCAGGAAATTGAGGAAGACTTTAGGCACCATGTTGTCTTTACAGTTTCTTAGAAAGACCAACATCGCCGAACATGTTGTCTTCCACGGGTACTCCAACAGTTTTAGTTACATACAGTATAGTTTCATTACGGCGGGTAAATCATGTACGTCGTTCGTGTTTGCTACCATTCTGTGTAATGTGCCGATGATAATCAACACCTTGGTGTTCACAGAACCGACACTCCTGAAATGACAGATTGACCGAATATGCATATATATATATATACAGGGTTGCCAGGACGAACATACGGAGGCCCCTAAGCTGACCCCGAAACGTTCGGGCGTTCGGGTCCCCCGTACGGGGCCCGAACTCGAAGGGGTTCAGCCCCTGCAAAAAATTATTTTGGTACCTAAAAATTATTTTTTTTTTCAGATTTTTTTTTTGCGAGTTCTCTGTTATGTAAGCTATCTGTCTCTCAATTTTGAAGTCATTCTGTGGAGCCAAACAATAATGAAAAATCGGCAAAAGATGGTGGTGTCAAAACTTGCTTTCCCACTTACTAATTTGTTTTTTTTCTCTTTTCACTTTATTTCGGGGCCTGAAAAAAATTATTATTTTTTCAAACTTTATTTGTAGGTTCTCTATTATGTAAGATACAGATGTATAAAATTTCATGACATTTGACAGAGCCAAAAAAAAATGAAAAATCGCCAAAGATGGCGGTGTCAAAAACTTGCTCGCCCACGCAATAATTTCATTCTCGTTTTATTTTTTCTTATTTTCATTAATATTATTTATTTTTCGTATTATTTCAAATTTGGTAAGGAATTTGGATGTACTGTTGAGGCAAATGTTTTTTAGTTTATTCTTCTGCATGACATTTTTTTTTTTTCAGAATTTTTGGAAACTTTGTT